AGCTAAAATCTCAGCATCTTCCGTTCAAACTGGGACTCTGTCAAGACCGAATTCTCCAGAATTTTCATTAGGGTTTTCCTCTCAATAAACAAATCTATGCGTATATTATTATCATAATGCGGATCTAATCTTCACTAATTGGCTACGGTTTACTTTATATATATATATATCTCTCTGTATGTTTCACCTGTAGCACTATGTGTTCAGTAACGTCACTGCAGTTGGTAGCATGTGGACCCACGAACCCGCTATCTCACGATTATGAGTCCGGTAGCCTAACCACTAGGCCACCGACGCCGCAAGAGAGAGAGACTGAGAGAGAGACTGAAAGAGAGAGAGAGAGAGACTGAAAGAGAGAGAGAGACTGAGAGAGAGAGAGAGAGAGAGAGAGAGAGAGAGAGAGAGAGAGAGAGAGAGAGAGAGAGAGTGAGAGGTGGAGATGCCATGTACAGGAAAACTGAGAGAGAGGAAAAGGGGCGACGGAGAAAGGGAAAGAAAGAGCGAGAGTCGAGACAGAAAGACAAGAAGACGATGTTTTGGTAAGTGTTTTATGGCGCTCGCAACTGGATTAAGTCATATGAGCACAGGGGACACATTGAATATTTTCAGTTTGGTAGGAATTTTGAATTTTGCCCGGATGGCGGCCGAAGCCTACTCTTATCGATATTAGGACATGCAAGGGATTTTTAACGAGGGCAACTTGCACACGGTACATTGGAGAGATTTGTTTCCCTTTCTATATGAGAAGGGCAGGTGTTAGATCTTACCTACCCTAAGATGAGGGGTGTCGCTGAAAGACAGCAGTAAGGAGCCTAGGAGTAGCAGTAGAAAGGCAGCATGACATAAAGAGTCAGGATCCCAGAGGAGGGGAAGGGGGAGGGGGCAGAGGTTGGAGACAAAAGTAGACGACAGATTGGTTAGAGAGGAAGAAAGGTGAAAGGAGACATTTTTTTAAAGAGAAGAAAATGTTCCGTCGCTGTCAGCTTTCGAAATCGGAACGAAAATACAGAAGAGTGTGCGAGAGAAGGAGGGTGAGATAGAGAGGATGGTGGGAGGGAGGAAGTCTGGTAGAGAGAGAGAGAGAGAGAGACAGAGAGAGAGAGAGAGAGAGAGA